TTTGGTATTAGTAACTCAACCGATTAGTTTAAAATCAAGGATTTATCTTAAAGATAATTAGTACTTAAAGAAAAAGTATCCTCCTCATTCTCCCCACCGATTAACTTCTATCTTGTGGATTACAATAATGTAGAAGTATCTTTCGCACCGAAAGATACTTACATTAAGTCTGCCGCTTTATCTTCACCCCATTCCATCTGCTTTGATAATAATTTTGTGTTTCGGCTCTTATTTTCCGGGCGCATTTCCCAACTAAACTGAGAGTGGAAAACAGTTAAAAGTTGTGCTCCTATTCTCGTTAAGTTTCAGTGCACGGCCGTTAGGTGTCGCTTTATGGGCACATTTTAGCATTTTCCATATGTTCTTAATACACCGAAAGAATAAATGTGACTCAAGCCAGTATTAGTACTTTAGTATTAGTACTTTTTATTCTTTTTATTTAAAACGTTTCAAGACCAGTTAGAATACCAATTGCAAGTAAAAATGAGTCTTTTGATTTCTTTGTCAAATTATTACACTATTTCTTAATAAATTGAACTTTTAATTCAATATTTTATAATCGCATTATTTCTAAATTAAAGTCGCTAGGTTTAATAAATTCGATTAACTGCAAACTGCTCATATGTAAACTGTTTGAGTTTAAAAATACAATTAGTATAAAAAGCCAGTATCTTTAATTAGTATTTTAGCTATATAATTGTAATGTTGGTAGGGCTTTTTCCTCAGTGCTTAGTTCCAGTTTGCCGGGTTCCTTCGACTTGACTTATTACTCGCACAAAAAGCAACACACACATGTGCTGTAAAAATGAAAATGGCGCTACAAAAATGAGAAATGAAGAATGACAACATCAAATTAGCTTCATAAAAATGTCGACTCGCTCGGTGCCACAGAGTTGCTTCTTTTTTTTTTCTGTTCTTTAAGGGAGGGTGAGGGGGCTTGTGGGCGGGAATTGTGTGAAACAATACAGTTTATAAAAATGAGAGTGCAAAAATATTTTTATGATAAATGACTGTAAACGAGCACGTGAAGGCAGGGAAAGACGGATTGCGGGGGGCTTCAACCGAACTTGGAGCCAAGGACATTCCATAGACACATAAACGTGCTGCTGTCAACCGCACACGCACATGCCGGCACACCCACACACGCACGCCCACACACACACTCGCACACACACCCGCACACACACACGCCCACATAGGGACATCTATATGACAGGAGCATTTTGGCGTCGACATTGACATTTCCGGCCGCCGAGGGAAAGCGGGAAAGGTACGGCAGCAACAGTTGTCCTTTGTCACCAAAGCCCCCCACCCCCGCCCCCTTCTATTTTTCACCCCATCCCCTGAAAATTTCCCACGCCCGCAGCGACATGTGTCACACGCACACACACTGACGTAGTCGAGTTTTTTTTTCTTCATATTTTCCGACTGATAGATGGCAAGTTTGACGATCTTGTTGCCGAAATAAAGCGATAAGTGCTGGAAAAGTGTACTTTGCCCTAGCCACATGTTCATAACTAGAATAAAACCCAGCCTTGAAATTAAAAATGGGAGATGTAAAATACTATACAATTCCCGTATAAATATCAATTGAAATTTCTTCGGTCTTTTTAAATGAATGATATTTCCTTTCTGAAAAATTGCTTTTTACAAGTTTTTAAGGGTTTGTTAGATTGTCACAAAATCTGGAATGCCAAAAAGCTACAGACAAGCTCAATTTAAGCCGATAGAAAAAAATCAATTGAAATAATCAGGACTGTTCTATAAAAAAAACAACATTATTATCTAAATATTCTAAATAATAGGGTAATAAAAAAGGACCTTAAATAGAAATTATAAAAAAGTAAAAAAAAACAATTTTTATCATATTCTTATCTCATATCTCTCTAGAAAATTAAGATATGAGATTTTGGGAGCGGTAAGCTCACAAGTAATGAAATAAAATTAAACTTTTTTTTTGGATTGACTACTGACTCAATTCTTTTTGGTTTGGTTTGTGTTACGTTCACTCATTTTAATGTTAGTTTTAATGGCTTCCCCAAGGTCATAATATAATTTTCTTGAACTATTCGGCACACTCAATAAATACAGCATTAATTTCGCCCTGCTGTACAGCTTTTAAGGACCCCTACAAAACCACTTCGCCATCTGTTGCGGTACTCCATATAAACTCAATATTATGATAATGCCGAAAACCGTACAATTCCATTGGCAAAAGTTATTGACCGCATGCCGAAAGTTTTCATAGATTGGAATTATTTTGGCTTCCTTGCCGGTTGGCAAGTTTTGCGTGTACAGTCAACCGAAACTTATTATTAATATCCTTTAGTGTGCTGCAGTGTGGATTTTACTGCCAAGCTTAGCTTCTGCTATTTGTTTAATTAGATTTCTCAAGTGGGAACCTCAGAAACCGCACATTTTCTCAAGACTTTCGTTAGCGGACGGGCAGCGGGGGGTGTTTTCCATTGCAGGCGGGTGCAATTTTTCGAACTGTTGCTCTTGGAAAGGGCGGGAAAACCGCAAAGGAAAATCCCTCGGCCAGTCTCCCGTTTTCATTCCTATCGAAACAAAGCTATTTTTCAATGGAAGGGAAGGGGGATGGGGGAAGGGTGAAGGTGGAAGATTTTCCTCGCTGTCTCGCAAATATTTCAGTGAGAACTTTAGCATTTTGTGCACTTTAATTTGCGGTGAGCAGAACTGGCAAAGTTTTTCCCCGACCTTAGACCCAAAAACCCGAATGACCGCATCAAAGAGCCACTGCGAGGGCCATTTGTAAACAGACAAAAGCTAATAGCTGCGGCACGAAAACTTCCACCAACAACCAGCAATGAAACTTGCATTTCCCCTCCTCTCAACTAATTCCGGTTTCTTTACAATATTTGGTTTTTCCATTGTTCTCCAACTATTCGCCAGATTTCCATCCGACTCAATTAAGAATTTCGCTGGGAAAAAGTTTTGGCAAGCATGACGTGCCAAAGGTAAAGATAAATGAAACTTTCATGGCGTATCATACAAATTGAATGGATTTCGATTAGGATTCAGTTATTTGTGTCACAACTTCCTAGGCGATATCTATTTTAAATATTTCGATTTATTATATTTATTCACTTAGAATATGTAACACAATTTAAAGTACGTGAAAAATAATGTCTGATTAAGGTTTATTTTGAAACTCGCTCTTCCATTCAATCGGGGTTCTTTTTCTTGATGCTGTAAATTAATAAATATTTAATAAAATAATTAATTGAAAATCAAATAATTCGCATAGAGGTTTCTCTAAAATTCGTAGAAGGTGAATTGGTTGCTAGAAATTCAGAATTGGCTGTCGCCGTCTTAAACTCTCGTTAGGTTAATCGCAAAGTGCCCTAATTGAATTTCATTTCGCATTAAAGCGCCCCAGTGGGCGTGGCAGTGGGTGGGCTAACCAATCTGGGCATTATTAAATTATCCCTTAGACACCGCAATCGCACTCCACCCCCCTCCCCCCATGGAATTCCTCTCAGTCGGTCTTGGCTTTTGTTATTATGAGCTTTGCTTTGGCTTTTTGCCACTTTTCAGTTTGGTGCCAGGCGCTTTTCAGTCATTAATCTTCTTTGACGCGCTTAAATCACATGAATAACAAATTAGATGGCATATTAGTACGTGGCTTTACCGCCTTTGTAATATTTTTTTTTTTTAAATCCGACAAAATGTCAAATGTTGTGGTACAAAAAAAAAAAAAAAAAGTGAAAGAAAAAGGGAAACAAGGGAAAAAGAAAGCCCACAAAAAGAAAGGGAAATGAGAGTGAAAATTAAATAACAAAGAGATCTCGCTCCCTTGGCTCTATATATTTTTGCATAATTCATTGGCCTGTCTAACGGTGCGTATGCGTTATCCCCACTTTCCCCTTGAGCTTTTCCGTATCCCCCCCCACCGCCCCCCCTCCCAAGCACACACACATATTTTTCGCCTCTTTGTGCTGTCATTTTGCTAATTAGCTACGCATTTTCATTGTCGTTAAAACTCCTTTCATATGCATATTTACCCACTCCGCTGAGTATTTATGTTTTTCGCCTTGTGTCCTTTCATTCTTTTAATGCAATTTAATTATTTTGCTATATGCTGTATGTGTCACAGACAGAAAGACAAAGCCCATGTCTTGTGACATGTGCCACATACCCCAACCTTTTTCCGCCTGCTTTCCTTCACAATTTGATAAATTATATGCATTTTTAATCTAATTAAATTGCAACAGGCGGCAAATGTCACTGGCTGCTGTTCTTTTTTATGGCCGTCGTCTTGTCATGATAAATGTGTGATATTACTACAAAATCCAGCAAGAATGCCTGAAAAATGTCTCTCACCCGAAGAAATCTTAATTCCTATACTTGATATTCGTATATTCTATTCGTTGGAAAGTATGTAAAAGGTTGAAGAAAGCGTTTCCGACCCTATCAAGTATATACATTCTTGATCAGGATCAATAGCCTAGTCGATTGGGCCGTGTCCGTCAGTCCGTCCGTCTGTCCGTATAAACGTCAAAGTGCTAATATCCTTGCAGTAATGCTAAATTTGATGAGTACCACCTGCAACATGCGAACCCATGAACAATAGTGTCTTCAAGCTGGAAAGTACCTTTTTCCAGATAATTGCCCCAAAGCCCCTTTGACACCCACCAAAATGACTTAACAAAACCTTAATAAATTAAGTATTTAATAATGAAGTGTTAAATAAAGTTAAGCGGAAACTTGCATAGTCCCCCAAACTCCGTTTTATTAGGGACTGTCCTTGAATAAATGTTTCCGGATTCAGGATTCGGTTTCAGGACACAAATTTAGCGAAGTCCACAAAAAGTTTACCAACCCTCTCCACTTATCCGTATTTATGTTACTAAAATACGCAGATCAGTCGTCAAATAATCTCATAATCATTTCATCAAACGAAAACAAATTAATACCAGACACCATTAAGAATACAGTATAGATTTATTAGTTTGTATTAATAATCAATTATTTGATACTTAAACAGTGCGACTCAATGACTTGGCCCTTATCATCATTTCGACAAAGGTAGCTGATTCATCCCAATTTATATACCAGTACCACTTAATTCCTCTACGACCTTTGCCATCTTTGAAGTAATTTCCATTGAGCGTACTGCAATTTTAAGTGATTATAATAAGAAGATTTAATAAGAGCATAAATAAACAGGTATACCTAGGTGAACAGCTATTGTGCCACCATGCACCATATTCTAAGGCACAATTTCCGTTACTTTTATTGTCATTATCCCGATCAAATGTGGAGAACTTTTGGTTCTTATTTTCTGTGAGGGAGTCTCCGGCCTTACCAGAATATTTCCCTAGATTCTTTAACTCGTACAATTCCTCCTCACTCCCAATCTTAAAGTCATCGTATTGAGCGTAACTGGTGGATCCATCAACCTTGCCAAGTTTAATGTAGAGTTCGTGGGGTCGTGCCTCAGTCATCCGATGCAATTTTTCCAGCCCGATGAAAAATTCTCCACTGACATTCCCAAATCCAGATTTATAATCATGCCAGTTTCTCTCGAAGTCCTCGGATCCGTCAATGCGTCTCTGAATTACAGTATAACCAGGTGGAGACGAAGCACATGGCGCTTTAAAGGGTTCAAGACCCCGAAGCTTTATTTGGTAAATGAAATTGGTTCTGCCATTGGGACAAGAGTCAGGTAAATTGTCATCAGTTTTCTGCAATTCCGAAAGCTGACTAGATAGTTCTGATTTTGTTTTCTCAATCGCTTTAATTTGTGTCGTAAGATCAGAGATTTGTTTATCTTTATTTGTAAGGTCCTCCTCTTTCACCTTTAAAATATCCTCTTTGCTTTTGGTTTGAACTTCCGATATTTTTAACTGACTCTGCAAGTCTTTTATAGTATCTTTCAAAGTATTAAGTTGGCTTTTCAGCTTATCGTTGGCATCGGCTGTTATTTTTATCTGTACACAATGATTTAGAAGAGGGGATAAAATAATAATAGCTGCATTGCTTTTCAATATTCTAATTAGTTGGTTCCTGCGGTAAATCTTAAATTGAGGTTAACCCAGGATGTTTTATCAAAAGTAAATCAATAGAAACACTTTCAAATACACCGATAAATGGCAGCGTCAATCCAAAACTAAAATTAATGCAAGGAAAGAAATTTGAAAATTACCTAATACATAATTCCAGTGCAGTATTATTGGTTAAAAAAAAACATTTCCGATAGGATCGCGAAAGGATGTCTAACTATCCGTAACTCACCGTTCTAAGTTCCTCCATTCTGTCGAATCTCGCATCCAGTTTGGTCTGCAGAGCCTTAATTGAATTCGCGAAGTCTTCTTTTGTGATGATCTTGCTCCCAAGTTCCTGCAGTTGGTTCTTCATTCCGGCCTTCAGATCTACTTGTCCTTGCGCCGTGGTCATCCTAAAGGAATCCTTAAGAGCTGTCTGCCCTGCCTTGATTTCATCCAACGTCATTCGCATACTATCAGTATCGTCGATTATCGGGTTGAGAGCGGCCAGGCAAAAGGAGCCACACTGCCTTGGCTCATCTTGGAGAACGCACAACGACTGATCCTTTGAATTCAACCCAATTCCTCCTTGTACACTTGGAAAAATTAATAAGCCAAGCAAAAAGGATAATAAACTCAACATTTTAAGACTTTCCATCTGCTCAAATTGAATTCAAAAAGTGTACTGAAATGAAGCTATTAGTTGAAGAAAGACGAAGCCTAAAATATTGCTGATAAGTGACTGTTATGGTATACAACATACATATAAATCTCCCGTCGCCGAAAATGGGAAGTAGATAAATACATTTGTGCTTAAAATATAAATGGATGTTTTTGTTCATTTGGAAAACAACAAATATGCTTTATTAAATTCGTTGTTACCCGGACTGTACAAATTGAAATGGTTTTTTTTTTTTTGGGTAGGGGTAATGCCAAAAAAATAATTTTCTAGAGGCAGATTTATCCGCATTTCGCGGGATTTGCCCAGCCATTAAATATCTGCCTATAAACATGGCCTGGGAATAATTTCGCGATAAGCTCAAACCATGGACAAATATGCATATTTATGTATTTATGTGTGTGCTATTATAAGCGATTTCGCTTTTTTTAGCTGTATGCTTGTTATGCGATAATTGTATTTAAGGCACAAGCCGCTTAAAATCAGTTTTCCATTCCGCTTCTTTTTCAAATAAATATTCAACCATAAACGCACAGAAAAGCCAAATGATACGTCCACTGCGATAAATCGCATCAACTATTAGTGAAACCATATTAAAGTTGCTTAAATATGAATTTTGGGACTTATTCTTAGCTTACTATGTTTCCTTTCAATACCATTTTATAAGCGTTTAGATCGTATCATTCCATTTAATTATAAAAATAAACTAAATCTATGTACCTATACATAAATATACATTTTGCTGTGGTTAATAAATTAATAAAATGTACGTAAATACAAATGATAAATATATTGCTATGTAATCTATAAATTTAATGTAAATAAAATTAAATAAATATTTAATGTACAGCTTTACCTGCTAAGGAAATTGTTTTAAAAATCTTGTATAGTTAAACATGTTTAAATATTAGCAACCGGCTAAGAACAATGACGAAATTTCCTCAGTCTCTGGAACTTTTCCTACAATGCAACTTTCTGCCGCACACACACACACTGCAACAAATAACTGGTAGTTAACTGGAATTCCTGACTCCTCGACCATTGTACCATAAAGCAGCGCAACTGTTGCACAGATGAGAATAAAAAAAAAAAAAACAGAGGAAAACTTGGCCAAGGAAAAGCGGGAAAAGCCACTTGGAGGAAGCTAGTTAGCTAGAGAGAGAAAGGGCAGAGCCTGTTGCCACATAAACAGCAAATTTTATTAGATTACACATACGCCGGGTGGTCCCGCATGGAGAAGGCGAAAGCAACTGCATCGCATGAAAATCAGGAGGAGGAAAATTTGTGGTGGTGGGAAAGGCGAGGAAAAGCGGGGAAAACCAGCGACGGAAAGCGAAGTCAGAGTGCAAAATTTTTATGACTCCCAGCGGATGTTTTGATACGTTTTTATGAGACGCGCGCGTGCTGTAAGCGAACGCCGACTTCCGCTCGCCATAGGCCTCGTCTATAACGCCCGGCCACACCCCCTTTTCGCCACACCGCCCCCCGACCACCCCTCCCCCTTTTGACATCCAACAAACTGACACTGCCTTATCGCACTGTTGAGCATTTGCTTGATGTGCTCTAATGGAAAACGGCAGGGAAATCGAAAACAAGATGCGGAAATGAAAATATCGCAAATATCTAATCCCCTAAAATACAATATTTTAAATCAATCAAAAACCCCTTATTAATAATTAGAAGCGTACAATTTATTTCTTTAAAAAAATTAAAAACCATCAAACCATCACTTAATTTACTTTAAAAAAATATAATGACTCAATGTTCTTTACACAGAAAAGATTATAAAAAATATATGATTAGAAAATTCCAAGTAAATGTTTTCTATTTTTTCTTTCGAAACAGAACAAAAATGATTAAAAAATAATGAATAAACGACTCACTTCTCGGGGCTTTTGAAAATAATATATATATATATAATATATAAATTTTGTAGAAAGGTTTCCGTTTTCGTACTTCCCATCAAACTTTAAGCACTGCCATGTAGAGTATAGAAAAGGGAATATATGCATGTATCTAAATATTTGCCCGACTGTCTTTCGCATTTATTGCAGGGCGACCAACTAGGCGAAGATTGAAGTGATTGCCATGAAGTCGAAATTGGTTCTGACAGGGAAATCGGCCCTTTGCATAAACAAATTCATCGGCAGTTGGCAAAAGGAACTCGAATTGATGACACATAAAAGCAAGTGGGAGCCAAATAAAATGAGGGAGTGAAAAATGGACCAAGGAGCTCATGGCATTTTATTTACCCATAAACGGGGACGAGGGTTAAAAGGGGTTGTTTTAAACCAACATAAGATTGAAACTTTTTTTTTTAAGTTTCTGTTTCTAGAACTATGTTTGCTGATCAATTGCCCGATTCTGTGCTTGAATATTTCATTTTTAAGTCAATAAATTTTATTTTCTAGATAGAAAGATTTTAGATTGAAGACTAGTTAATCATATTCGTTTAATTATTTATTTAAAGATGTAAGCCTAAAGTTATTAACTAAATTTACAGCGGGGGATAGCGTCCATAGCTACTACGACTTTCGGTTAATCAACTACAAAAAAAACCGGGAAATGTTCTTAATAATAATTTAATAAATCATATTTATACATTCAAGTTCATGAAATCAAACATATTTTCAGAAGACCTTTTGAAATCATATATTTTCTTGTAATTCGATAGAATAGTTTTACAACAAAATAATTATCAACAAATACACAATCGATTATGGCCGATATGCTTGACATGTTTTCGTAATCAAAATCTTTACGAGCCAAACATTTATTTCGTAGCAAATTCGAATCGTGTCCAACTTTTTGCACAGATCTCTGCTAATTTAAATCCAGTGAAACCTTGGAAAATCTTGAAAACTTTTCCCTCACATCTCTCTTGGCATTTCCCCATAAATCTCCGCCTCGATGGCTGACAAACGTTTAACTCCATGGCTTCGCCGTCATTTGGTTTGAAGTTGTGGGACTAACTAACTATGTGACCCGAACCCATAACACATTCCTCTCTTTAAAAGTTGCCCAAACTTTGGCAGCAGCCCTCTTACATTATCCTCGGTGCGGCAGAATGCCCCTGGCAAAAACCTTAGCCCCCGGAAAACCCCTTTTTTCCTTAAGGAAAATCCCATCCCCCTTTCCTACATTCCCCACTTTTCCATGGAGCATACTTTTCGGGCATGGCAAATGGCAGCGCTGATTTACTTTGCAATTACAGCCAACTGAGTGCCTGAGATGAAAGTGGGCGGTGGGCGGTGGGTGGTGGCTGGCAGTGGGTGGTGGGTGGTGGGGGAGACATGGCCGGAGGAGAGGGGGCCCAAAGCAATGAACTAGAAAGCTGTCTGATTAGCGTGCAGCCAGCAAAAGTTTCTCCACTCGCACACACACACAGATTTATTGAGCCCGCTGTCCGCGTCAATAATTTGCATGGGTTAAACGTACAGGAGGCAAGAAAATCCGGGGGCTAAGTCAACCTAGACCCCCAGCCCCGCCCCTTAACCCCTTAACGCCCCCATGCCTGACTTCCTGTGTCAATGGCCAGGGATTTACCTATGTATGTGAAGGCGGGAGAGAGTGTAAAAGCGTGTTTGGAAAAAAAAACTTTCTACGCTTCAGATCGAGTTTCTTATTCTTCGCTTTTCTACAGGGTATGTCTAATATAAGAGGACTTTTGCCACAAACAACATTTTGAGGGACGAAATATTGGATAACTAAACATATATAAACAAAATTCTCTATTTGGCAAATTGGACTTAGCAATTTATGTAAATAATCCAAATAAATTCAACATTTTTAATTTAAAGATTTCGTATGCACCAAAAACTTTAATCAGTTTCTTTCCATGAACTTTTATAAAAAGTTACATAAATGTAGTAACTTGTATTAATTACATTTTATAATAAACAAATAGCCATTTTTCAATTACAGGGCTAATAAGAAAATTAGGTTACCGCAACTGTAACAAAAAAAACTTAAAAAACTCCATATTTATTTATGCAATTAACATTATTATTGATTTAAAGCGCATAAAAACGGCAAATCAATTAATTCGTGAAGACCTTAAGAGCATTTTATAATCGGTTTTAAGTACTTTTTTTGTGTAGCTATTTCACTGCAGCGACAACCGAGTGACAATAAATTGTTAAGTGCAAAAAAGTTTATAGCATTCGAGTGAGTGAGTGATGGCCAACACACACGAACACGAAGTTCAAGACGGGCGAAACCCGCTTTAATCTAAACTCAAACCATATCGGAGGAAGCCCCAAAAGTGCACTGAGCAAAAAACTCAGCTAGATGAGTGGAAAATCGAGACATTGCCGGTGCTTTGTTGTCTGGCTGCAGATTGCAACACAAAGAGAATCCCTCACGACTCGAACACAGAACGCACTTTGTTCCGGTCTGAGATATTGTATGAAACGATGAAAATATATGAACTCTATGCAAATAGGGCAACTGGTATAAATAAAACCACCTTTACAACAGTACCATCGATAGTTATTAACACAATTAAATGAACAAAGCGAAGACCAATTTCCTAAATATTGTGTTGGTATTATGTATACCAAAATTATTAATTAAGTCCTTGTCCATATTTAAGGCATTGCATTGGAAATTTATCCCAATATCGGAAAGTAAAGTAATAATATTCAAAATAAGATATGCTATAATATTTCAGGTGATGCAACAATCTTAAGAGCTTAAAGGAAAATTCAAATACTTTCCAAGGACCTCACACACAAAGGCATATTCATTGGTAATTTGGTAACTTAATCGTCGTTAGCAAATTAATT